GACCTCCCACCGCGGCCCAACCCCCACGCCCCCCCCTGGCGCCTGGCACGCCCACGTCGCCGCCACGACCCGCACTACTCTCAGGGCCCGTGCATCTTCCGCCCCCCATCTTACACTTCCTCATCTAGAACTTTCCCGTTCCCTTACGGCGTCCCGCACATCCTCGGCACCCGACGCGCACCGCGCACGCGTTGCCTCGCCATCGCAACTACCCCACTTTCTATATCTGCGCCACCGCGGCACAACTCCGCTCCGCAATATGTTTTACGTTGCGTTCTTCGTCCGCGAAACAGGCGTTGCACCTCTGCTTCCCATTCGATTTCTGCGGCGTCCTCGTGGCTAACCATCTGCTGAACTCAAATTTCTTCAGAGCGTTCTTACAAGCAATGCGTTTCCAACGGCCGCGCTGCACCTTCCCCACCTCGACGCATCGCGTGCACTTCCAGCTCCCGTCTGTCGCGTATGTCCACATGCGCGCCGAGAAGAACTCTGCTCCTGGGCCACCAGGCACGCGACGCAGACCTTTGTTGTCTTCCGCGTCGCGCTGCCCCGACTTGCGGCTGCAGCCTCGACGCATGGCGTGCACTTCTGGCTCCCGTCTGTCGCGTCTGTCCACATGCGCGCCGAGAAGAACTCTGCCCCCTGGGCCACCTGGCACGCGACGCAGACCTCTGTTGTCTTCCGCGTCGCGCTGCCCTGGCTTGCGGCTGCAGCCTCGACGCACTCTATGCATTTCCGCGGCCTCGGCCTCTCTCCCCACATGGACCCAGAGTACAAGTCGCGCGGCTTCTCGTGGCCGCACCTCGAACACTTCGTCCGTTCCACCTCCTTCCCGCGCCGCTTCTGCACCTTGTCCCTCTTGCATTTGTCGCATCAGCGCCCCTCGTCATCGACGTCGCGCTTCGCAAAATGGGTGGCGAGTTCTGCGTTTTTGCAGCGACCGCACGTCAGGTGCTGCTTCAGCTCCTCGCACTCTAAGCACATCCCCCCCTTGAGGTCGCGACCGTGCGGTCCGTCGCCACGTTCGAGGTCGCGACCGCGCGGGCGGCGCCCGCCAGGGCTGGCCGCGCGGCGGCGCGGCCCAGCGCGGGGAGCCGGGAAGGCTATCGAGCCAATCGCCCGAGAGAGCATCGCCGCCCTTTGGGCGCGCAGTGGCACGCTTGGGGGGCAGCCCCAGGCGCTGGACTGGGGGCGCTCGAGCGTCTAGAGACAGAACGGCTGCGGTGCGGAGGTCTTGGCTTTTGGGGGGCCCCCAAATCCAAAATCTCCGACGGCGTGATTTTTTCAGCCGGCGTTTTTTCCTCGGTCTCGGCCCTCGGGGGCCGGTGTCGGGCCCCGGGACCATCAAAAACGGATCCGGGATGCAAAACTACCCCTGCGGAAACGCTCCAGACCTCTGAGGCCTGTAGGTAGTAATCCGCCGACCCCGAGAGGCGTGTGAGCGCAACCGCCGACCGCAAAGCCTTCCAGGACACCCTCCCAGGAGCTGACCTGTTGACGACTTCCACTCCAACCCCGGGCCCAGGTGCTCCCAAGCTCCCAGCCCCCCAACCACGCTACCGACGCTTCTCCCACGCTCTCCCCCGACACCATCGACGCCCCAACTTCGCCCCACCGGCCCCCATCACACAGCAACCCGGCTCCCAAGCTCCCAGCTCCCAGAGTCCAGGGCTACAAAGCTCCCAGCTCCCGGCGCCCCAACCCCAGGGCCTAGATGCTCCCAAACTCCCACCGCCCGGGCTCCCAAGCTCCCAGCTCCCAAACTCCCAGCTCCCAAGCTCCCAGCTTCCAGCGTCCCGGCGCTCCCGGCCTCCCCAGCTCCCATCTCCCGAGCTCCCAACTCCCGGCGTCCCGCCCTCCAGGCGTCCCGGGCTCCCAGCTCCCAGCTCACAACTCCCGGGAACTGGGAGCTGGCAAGCTCCCAAATCCGGGCGCCCCGGACTCCCAAGCTCGCGGCGTCCCGGCATCCAGCATTCGGCTTCCGGCATCAGGCTGCCCGCATCCTGGCATCCGGCATCCAGCATAAGAGCTTGGAGCTCCAGCATAAGAGCTTTGATCTTTGGTCTCTGTTCTTCAGGACCCGAATTCTCGCCCGTCTCGGTGCGACCCCTCCCACGGCACCCTCTCCCTGGGAGAGCTCTCCCCAGGAGAGCTCTCTTCTTGAGTCTTGAGGATCCCAGCTCACCGACGCTTCTGTGCCATGCCCCGAAGTCACCAACGTCTCCACCAGGCCCCGCGGATGTCCCAAGAGCACTTCATAATGTAGAGCCCATGATCGATATGCTTCCATGAGGTCGGCGGCAGAGGCGGCAGCCTTTAAATATCATGAAATGCTGTGATTATGTGTTACGCTATCACATTTCATGTCATGGTGTGGCATGTTATGCTGCGCTATGGTACGTTATGTTATGGTGTGTCGTATTGTTTTCTGTGTTGTGTGGTGGTATGTTCTGAGATGCATGCTCCATGATGGCATTGCATGCGTTGGTATGATGCGTCATGTAATGTCCTGGTCTGACATGGTATACAATGATGTGCGTTGTTATGATATGTTGCTATGATGAAGTACGGTACGCTATGCTATCAGGTGTTATGCCGAGCTCTGTCATGGTATGAGTTGTCATGGAAAATACGTATATACGAGTTTATGATGTGCTACGGTGTGATGTGCTATGCCATGGTATGTTATGGTGTGCTCTGTTATGGTATGGTATGGGGTGTGGAGAGATATCATGGTATGTCAAGGTATGGTCTGCTACGACGTGGCATAGTATGCCGCGCTATGTCATGGTATGATGTGTCATCTGTGGTGCGATGTCATATGTCATGTTAGATGTGCTGTGATGCAGTGGTATGGCGTGGTATAGTATGTAATGGTATGATATGGTATGACATGGTATGTCATGTTATGCTATGGTATGACATGTTGTGTCATAGTATGTATGGTCTCATATGACATATCATGCGTTGTCATGTTGTAGTGTGATATGATATGATATGGCATGTCAAGCAGCTGTGCCATGTTATGTTATGGTATGTTCAGGTATGCGATGTGTTAGTATTGTGTGGCTGCCGTGTCATGTCATGCAATGATGTGGATTATGATCGTGTGCTGTGGCATGTACTGCTCTGCCATGGCGTATTACGATGCGAAATGTTATGGCATGATGTGGTATGGTATGATCGGATGTGTTCTGATAGGAGGTATTGTGCTGTGCATGGTCTCTCTATGTTATAATACCGCTCTGTCGTGTCATGATTTGTCGGCGCGAGACGGGACATTCGGGGACAATCGGGGGACCTGGGGATCTCGCGACCGCGGTGCCCGAGGCGGGACACTCGGGGACGGTCAGGAGATCTGGGGATCTGGTGGCCGCGGTATGCAGAGTGGCGCGAGGCGGGACTCTCGGGGGCACTCGGCGGACCTGGGGATCTGGCGGCCGCGGTATGCAGGGTGGCGCGAGGCGGGGCACTCGGGGACACTCGGGGGACCTGGGGATCTGGCGGCCGCGGTGTGCAAGGTAGACAGGTCGGGAGGTCTGTTCTTACGATCCAACGACCCGAACCTGTCGGGTGGGGAAAGCACACACACACAACTTGCAGGAGGTCCGCGCAGGTTCCTTGGATGCGCGCGGACCTCCGACACCTTTGTGCTGTTCATGTCTGTTTGCCTCCTTCGGATCCCAAGACCCCAGGAGGTTCGGGCCGTGCGTCTGCTCAGGACCCAAGGGGGGCCACGTGCGTCGGAACAATCGAGTTTGGTTGGAGAGGACCCGCGAGAGGACGCAAGACACTTCTGAGGGCCATATCGCCCCAGGAACGTAGAGGACATGAGCCCTTGACCTGGCAGGGTCACTGACCGAGCGCGACTGCATGCACCGCCCCATATGGGGCCCTTGGAGGTCGGCTCTCCAGGCGGCGGATGTGCATCAAAATTCTGGCCTGGGAGCTGAGGGGCGACGATAGGGGGGACAGGCATAGGGGGGGAATGCATCGGCCTGGAATCTGCGATACATCGCCGATAGATCGGCGACAGGGCCCCGAGAGCGAGTCCGCACCCGGGCAGGCTGGGGCCATCGGGCCCCTATCGGCGATCAACGGGCGATTGGGGGTCGCTGCGTCCCCCCCCCATCCCTGTCCCCCTCTAGGAGGAGGAGGAGGAGGAGGAGGAGGAGGAGGAGGAGGAGGAGGAGGCTGTGGTCCGGCGACGCGGGGAAACTGCAGCCTCGTGAACCCGCGCGGCCGGGCCCCGAGACCAGCGCGCCGATCCGCGAGAGGGGCCCCGGGGCTCGCTCTTCCAGGGCCCCAAGGACACACAGATACACACACACAGATCCCAGGATTCCCCATATTCTCCCATATACTTTCTGGACTTCGTCTGCCCGCCACTTCCCATATCTTCCTGGGAGTCGACGATTACTTGTGTCTGTGTGGTTTTGTTCCCCTCCCGAGATTTTCCAGGCGAGGAGGGCCCGGTGCCCGACGCAGCCGACGTCGTGGTTTCTTCACAGCGTCGACCCCAAGAGGTCTGGACCCCTTCCCTGGGGCCGGTTCATCCCGAGGCGTTTCTTGACGGTCTCCGTGCCCGTCAAGGGCCCCCGGAGGCCGGAAATAGCGAACAAAAACTTCCGGTCGTGATTTTGTTCACAGCGCGAGGGGAGAGCATGCTACGCATGGAATGAATTCAATGGAAATCAACTGCAGGGGATCCGTGAATGGATAAATCTAGACTGATGAGCCTATGATGCCTCTTTTGATTTTGAGCCGGCTATGATGCCCGCTCGTGCCCACCCCGTCCCGTCTCCAGGGACTTCGCATCCCCCTATGATGGTAAGATGGGAAGACGGGCCGCCGTCCCTGGCACTGCACGTACGGTGCCAGGTTTGTGGGGATTTGGTTCGACCCCCGCAGTTCCAATGATGGAAACTGCGAGGGGTGTGAGGCCTCATGGGTGTGAGAGCGCTGCGACGCTGGGACATTATCACCGGAGGACGGCCCGCCTGGGAACGCGTCATCATTGTCGAACCTCCAGCCCTCCGCGACCTTCCAGGGAGCGCAGCAATTGGAACTCGCCTGGCGAGCGGGGCCGGCCAGACCCACGTCTTGCGCCCCCCGAGGCGTCGTCGTCGTCCTCCTCGTCCTCCTCCTCGAGGCAGCAGGGCCTCCTCTTCCTCCTCCGCGGGAACGGCAGCAAGGCCTGCCTCGGGAAGGGTCGCCACTGTCGGTGTCTATGCCACTTCAGGTAAATGCCATTAACGGGGGGGGCGCCTCGGGTGACCGTAGCGCTTGGGCGGGTTGGGGCACGTCGGGGCGGGGGTGCGCTGCGATCGCCAGTCTGCGGGCGAACACCATCATGTGGGGTGGGGTCCAGGCCCCCTCCCTACGCACGGTGGTTACTGTTACCCGCAGGGGAGAAGAGATGCTTGGCCCTGGTAACGACCGTTAGGCGCCAGAGGAAGAAACCAAGTATCCTTGCAATCTGCCTTGCCTTTGTGTTACCCCCCTGCCATTGAGGTGGCCGCGGGGGGCCGCAAGCGCGAGGCAGCGTGCTACCACTTTGGCGAACTCCGGCCCCGGAGAGGGAAACATCGGCAGGAGGAGGAGACAAGACGATGCAAAGGAGACACGAGCATCCCAGCAGAGCATCCTCATAGCAGCAAAGGCGAAGGGGCAGGTCGAGGAGCAGGAGATCGGCGAGTATAAACATTAAGTCGGGCGTGTCCCCCTACAGGGGGACTTTCGACGAAAAATAAAAAATACGGAAAAGTACACCAAAATGGCAAACAAATGCGAGAAACAAAAACAGGTCCCCCGACTATTGTTAGACTATTTTTGAACCTTCCCCCCTGTAGAGGGACAGGCCCGACTGAAAGTATGAGCATGCGTTCTCAGGTATGCTTAGAAGGGTTCCAAGACCTCGACGACGCGGGACAGGGGCGAAAGCACGGCCGTGTTGCAAAGGATCGTGGCCGTCCAGAGCAAAGTGTAGCCTTACGTCGAGCGTGTCCCCCTACAGGGGGACTTTGGGCGACAAATACACAAATACTCAACAAATACCCCAAACATATTCAAACATAGCGAACAAATCGTCCCCGGAACTATTTTTGCACATCCCCGTAGAGGGACAGGCCCGACTTAAATGTCGCCCGCATTGGAGCGAGAACGCGATCCGAATCAACTGGGAAGAATCCTCAGGCGAGCGAAATGGGCGACAGGGCTTCCCGCCGCCCCTGCAGGACTCTGCTGCTGTCTTTTCATTTTTCCGCTACGAGAGCCCTCTGGCGAAACGCCATGAGGGAACGATTCGAAGGAGAAAGCTCCTGGGGTCATGGGACTTGAGGGAGGCAAAACGTGCCTTAAGCTTTCGGGGATCCGCGCGGAGCTCTCGCATCGGCGCTGACCCCGCCTCTCCCCCCCCCCCCCCGCAGTACCCCCTCCTCCTCCTCCTCCTCCTCCTCCTCCTCCTCCTCCTCCTCCTCCTCCTCCTCCCTCCTCCTCCTCCTCCTCCTCCTCCTCCCCTTCCCCCACCTCCCTCCTCCCTCCCTCCGCCTCTCCTCCCTCACCGCAGTCCCCCCCCCTCCCTGGCACGCGGAGCGAGCCAGGGCGGCGCGGAGAGGCGCCGCCGGGGCTGCCCCGCGCCGACGCAGGGGATCCACGCAGAGACCCCCGAGCTCCGATCATGTCTTCTGATGCGGTAGGAGGAGGAGGAGGAGGAGGAGGAGGAGGAGGAGGAGGAGGGGGAGGAGGAGGAGGAGGAGGAGGAGGAGGAGGCATTCCCCTTGCTTACGATAGGAGGGGGCTGGCTCAGGGGGGGGAGAGCATTGACTTGGAACCGGCGATGCATCGCCGGCAGATCGGCGGTAGGCCCTGGAAACAGTCGGACCTGGGCCAGAGGAGCGTCCCTCAAGAACACGAGACCCTCCGCAGGCGAAGACAAACAGGACATCCAAGGGTGCCCTCCCCAGGATGCACCAGAGCATCCAGCAAGCACGAAGAGCACCAGGGTACCCGAGCCGACCCCGATCTTGTACCTCGATGCGGCCGTACTCAAGATGCTCCGCCCCGCGGACCTCCCGCGCTCCCGCGCTCCCATGGCCCGAGTGTTGCCGGAAGCGTTCACGGATCTCGGAGAGGGCCCAGATGGCCCCAGCGGCTCTCGAGTGGCGCTCAAAGCCGGGGACACCCAGGGCCAGAACAGCCTGGGGTCACCACAGAGCAGAGTGGGTTCTCGTGGTGATTCCAGGTTTCCCATGATTCGAATTCCAGGTTTCCCAGGGACGAAATATGGGAAGCCTGAAATCACCACGAAAAAAATGCTTCTCGTGGTGACTCTAGGCTTCCCAGAAGTCGGAATGATGGGAACCCTGGAGATTTCACCAGCACCCGAAAGGTGTCTCCAGCCTCAGGCGAAAAACGCTCCGAGAAATCTGCCCTGGACGTCACCGCGTCTCCGGAAACCGCGGCGATCTCTGCCCCACGGCGAGCCTCCAGAACGGACATCCGCAGGCCCCCCTTGCGGGGCCACCGGGCTGCAAGGCGGAGGTTTCAGCAGCTGACCGGCCTGCACCTCATCGGCGCAACGATGCCACGCGCAAGGTTGCAGCGTTCTTGGGAGCTCCGCAGAGTGGCAACCGATACTTTCTGGTCACCGGCTCTCGGAGCACCAAACCGATCCGGAAACGCGCGCGACCCCCCAATCCCGAAGGCGCCCCTTCAGAATTCCCAAATCACGTCCTTAGAAGTTCTCGGGAGCCGCAGGAAGGACAAGGACATGAGCGGTTCGAGCCTTCGGGGCCGCGGTCCCTCATAACAGACCCTGCGTCCGCGCCGTCGAAGTTACGATCCCGTGGAACAGGCATGTCCTGGCGACGGACCCAACCATACGCAGCTGCGAGCACCGAGAGGCAAGCGAGAGGCAGGAGGGGGGAGAGCACAATCATGGACTGGCGCGCATATCCTGGAGGGGCGGCGTCATGCGAACACCGTCACCGGGTCCTGCGGTGAGCTGCCTATGGGGCCACGAAGCGTGTGCGAGGTGTGCCGAGCTGCAAGCGGGTATGTCATGCGAAACCTGCCATGGTGGCCTTCTGTGGAGCTCCGCACGAGGCCAGGAAGCGTGTGAAGGCGTGCCGAACTCGAGGCGGGTGCGCCACGCGGACCCTGCCACCGGGGCCACGAAGCGCGCAAGAGAAGTGCCGAATTTTGGGGGCGGGTGCGCCGTGCGAGCCCCGCCACTGACACCGTAGGTAGCTGCCGAGGGGGCCATGAGACGTACGAGGACGGTGCCAAAATGGGCGGGGATCCACAGTGCAGTCGGGCCCACTGAGACCGCATGTGGGACTCTATGTGGGGCCACGAAGCGTAGAGGGCACACTGAGACCGTCCATGGAACTCCCTCTGGGATTATGCTGTTCCCACCGTGCTTAAGGACCACATCCCAGGAACAATTTCGAGCACCCAAACAAATAATTATCGCGACAGTGTGGAACGAATATCGCCTCCCAGGGCCCGACACGTGAAAACCCCTCAGTTTCGGTACTTTCTTGGTGATCGAAAGTGTTTCTGGCGATCAAAAAGCTGAACTAAATTGGAACATCCTAACTCTGGGACCACGAACCGTGTGAGGGATGCGCCGACATGGGTAGGACCCCGTGCGTCTGGGCCCGCCGAGACCGCAGGCGGGCCTGCCTGCGGGCATGCGGTCGGGCCCCGTGGGCGCGGGGCGCTAGGCAGGCAAGGCAAAGGCCATGCATCCTGAAGGACGCGGCGTACTCGAAGTTGCGCCATAGGCAACCGAGTGAGGCAATGAAAGCATAAGTGCGTCGAAAATTGCAGCGATGGGAAGAGGAAGAGAGAGAGAGAGAGAGGACCCAACCCCACAAGCGAGGACCCGACACCACAAGAGAGTCCGGAGCAGCGGATCCTCGCCGCCATGGGCCGCGATGCCGTGTGCACAGAACAAGGGGTCCGCGCCTTCGAGGCCACGATGCGAGGTCACAGATGGTGGGTCACGCCTGCGACTGGCCATCGCTCGGACGTTCATTCCCTGTGTTTTTTTGAGTTTCGTGCGCGGATTTTTCGCCAGATGATCAAGGATGCTCCTAGACTGTCCTCGCCGAAGGAAAAGTGCAGACGTCCGAGCGATGCCAAGGCGAGGCCACGATGCCGCGCGGACAGAGTAGGAGAAGATGGCCCGCGCACTATAAGGCCACGATCCGTAAAACAGAAGACTATGGGTCCGAGCCTTCGAGGACACATTCACCAGCAACAAAAACACTGGGTCCGCGCCTTCGGAGGCCGCGACCCCTCGCACAAAACTGTGGGCGCGCACCCTCGAGGCCATGCCCACGCTGGAAAACGGGCTGTGGATCTGCACCCCCGAGGCCACGATCTCTTGCGCACAAGCTGTGGATCCACGCCTTCGAAGCCACGATCCACGGACGCAAATGAACGGCGGAAAACCGTGAACGGAGGAGGAGGAGGAGGAGGAGGAGGAGGAGGAAACGCAAATGAACGGCGGAAAACCGTGAATCCGCGCCCTGCGGACCCGACCTCACAACACCACACGCAGCGCGGCCGCGCTCCGAGCCCGCCGGCCACCCCGCCAGCCTTCCGACCAGCAGCAAGCCTACCAACAGAAGAGGAAGAACGCCATAAACATCAACTTTTGGCGCTCCACGCGGATGTCTTGGCTCCGCGCTGGGCCCCGCTCCCTGGCACGCGGAGCGCGCCAGGGGCGGCGCCGGAGGCGCCGCCGGGGGGGGGGGGGGGCGTCCCGGATCCAAGAAATCCGCGCGGAGCGCCAAAAGTTGATGCTCATGGTTGTTGTTCTTCTTCGAAGCCGGCCCTTCAGCCGACCACCTAGCAAGCCAGCCTGCCACCCGTCCGCCCAGACGGCCGGCCAGCCAGCAAAGTTGCCCGCCTGCCGACCAATCAGAGGGGGGCTGCCGGCAGAAGGCAAGGCCCCTCATATATAAAGCAGAGAGAGGCACGTGCACGGAAGCCGACCCTGATGATGCCAGAACTACGATTAGCTAGGGCATGCCCTCCTACAGGCGGATTTTGGAGGAAGAATCAAACATTGTCCCCAGGCTAGTTCTGCACCACTCAGGGATTGTCCTCCTGTAGAGGGGCATGCCGACTTCAAGCTACTACCACGAGGGAAGCAAACGCAGACAGAACCGCCCGGGAGAGACAGGAACTGGACGCCGGGCCTTCCCCAAGGACTGGCTTCTCCTCGTGCGGTCCTGCTCAGGGCATGGAACAGGCGCGCCCGCAGGCGCGCCCTCGCGGAGCAGGAGGAGGAGGAGGAGGAGGAGGAGGAGGAGGAGGAGGAGGAGGGGGAGGAGGGGGGGAGGAGAAGGAGGAGGAGGAGGAGGAGGAGGAGGAGGAGGAGGAGGAGGAGGAGGAGGAGGAGGACGGGGAGGCGGAGGCGGAGGAGGAGGAAGAGGAGAAGGAGGAGGGGGAGGCGGAGGCGGAGGCGGAGGAGGAGGAGGAGGAGGAGGAGAAGGCAGAGAGGACGACACGCCTTCGGGCCAACCAAAGCGGCGCCGCATTCTCCGATGTCCGACGTCGTGACTGGGGCAACCAACAGGTGCCTATACCGCTACTCCCCCGACATCTCCCAGGGCGTGTTATGCCCACGACTTCGAGGGGAATCCGGCGGTGGCGACGAGGGCCTCCCAGGAGGCCCAGACAGGGGGAAACGGGGCAGAGGTAGGGGTATGTGTACCCTGTCGTACTCTGAGCGACAGTCCGTGTGACGGAAGAAGATGAAGAAGCACACCAAAAAAAGAAAACGTGGGCTCTCGACCAGGCTTTTCTCTGCGTAAAACAAAGCTAGGATCGGTATAAATCGCTCCAGAGCGTTCCAGAGCGCTCTCAGAGCGTTCCGGAACGCTCTGGAGCGGCCGCGGCGCCCAATACATCCTCCAAACCCGCCGATTCTCAGAGATTTCGAGTTATCCCGATTCGATTTTGTCCCGATCTTCGTGTCGTTTTACTGCGGCGCCCCTCGAGCCCAGGCCGGCTCGCTGGAGCCTTCTTGGGGGCCCGGGCCGGGCGACGGCGCCGCGCGAGATCTCCGTGCACGACGCCCGAATGCCCTCCCATCCCCCCCATCCCCTCTCCCCCCTCCCCCTCCTCCTCCTCCTCCTCCTCCTCCTCCTCCTCCTCCTCCTCCTCCTCCTCCTCTCCTCCTCTCCTTCCTCCTTCCCCACCTCCCCTCCTCCCTTCCTCCCCGCCCCTCCCCCCCCCCCTCCTCCTCCCTCCCTCCCCTTCCCTCCCCTCCCTCGAGACAGCACTCCACTCAGTGCCAGTCCCCAGACTCACCTGCACGCAGAAGCTTCCTCCTCAGCGGCATGCGGGAAGTCACCGCGCAGCGCGCGGAGCGAAGAAACACAGGGTACCCTGGCGAAGAGCATCTGGTTTCTTGGTGCGCGCCCCCAAAACGATACGAGCACAAAACAAACAAAAACACAAAACAACACACAAGAACAAAACGAACACAAAAACACGAATCGCAAACGAAAAACACAAAACGAAAAAACGAGGTGGAGAGCATAAGCACGAAGAGCACTGGGGTACCCTCGGCGGCCCCTGGCGGCCCAGGTCCATGTTCATGTCGCCCCGGAGCAG